GCTAAAAAAATGGAGGGCTAAACCTGTTCGTCTAACAAGTTCAGCCAAGGAGATGAGGCATGAGATCCTGTTCTTCAGAATTCAGAGAGGTATACGAGGACACGCGGAGGGGCTAGCCGGCGAGAGCACCGAGGTGTCGCGCCAGCAACGAGGTAGCCCAACACGTGGGAGGCTTCTAGGATCGAATAGCACGTGAACTCCTACGTTTTCTTTGCGTGCACGGGTGCACAGGTGGCGCCTCCAACGTCTCCTTTCGTCAGTGGTTTGGCCCTTCGGTGTTGGCATTGCTTGCATGCATGGCAAAATTTGGAAGGAATATTGAGGCACGCATAGTCTTGTTAGAAAAGCTGGCACGAAATCTGGATGAACTAAGCCAGATCCCTCACTGTTTTTTGTTTGCTTCCAAGTGTTTTTAATGGCTATTTAGTGAAAATATATTCACTCTCTATCTCTGTACACTATAAAGTGTTATAGATCGATTTGAATACATTTTATATGATGTTAACAATTTAGACTATGAGCATGGAAGAAAGGAGAGTGGTACAAAATGCAACATTTAATCATGTAAGTGACAAATTATGTTTCTATAAGTAGGGCTAAAACCCTCTTGCGGAAGAAAATTAAATGTAACATGAAGAACCCTTTCAACATGAAACAGGCACAGGAGCCCGATGCCTTTTGGAGGCTAGAAACCCTTCTGTAATAAAATATACCACATAGTTTACATCATAATCTCTCCGTCCCAAAATAAGTATCATTCTTGTTTTCTGAATCAAAGCTTTTAAATTTGACCAAATAAATATAAGAAAATATATAATTAACATCATTATATTGTTGGATCTACTTTTATAATAAACTTATTTGGAGATACCAACATTGCTAATATTTTCTACAAATCTAATCAAACTTGATAAAGTTGACTGAGATGAATACCATAGTGACACTTATTTTGTGATAGAGGGAGTGAAGTGTTGTGTGGGTAGCACATACAATATTTCACATATGAGCCATGAAATAAATCATGTTATGCTTAGCAAATCCATTTTCAATATAAAATGATATATATAGTCCGTCTCAGTAGAGAGTTTCATAACGTTGTTTTCAAAAATGCCACGTCAAATAGAATGCAATAAATTTGAATGAAACAATCGCTCTCAATGTATAGTTTTATTTTATAGCTCCATGTTGCTATATTGCCAACTCAGCGCAAAGGTATCATCATTTGTTTTGAAGCATCATGTATGTTCTGGACTCTAGAATGCAAGATCTTTACTCACATCAGTCTAGCCTGCCTCTCCCAAATTAAGGGAAACACAAAACGCTACACAATACATAGAGGATAGCCTAGGTAGTAGCCATTTTGTATGAAAGGATATGCCCTTTTGTACGAAGATATGTTAGTGGCACATTAAAAAGAGCTCTTATATAATCTTGGACAGATTGGCTTTAGGAAATATATCCCCTTGGTGGTTGAATGGCGTGGCGCAAGAATACTTATAGCTGTCCACGGTTGATTCTTCCTAGGCGCAAGAATACTTATAGGTGTCCATGGTTGATTCTTCCTAGGAAACTACCAGTGGTTGTTGGATGGTCTGCAGATTGTTGGCCCCTGATCTCCAGCATAGGTGAGCCGACCACTTACCAGCGTTGCCGATCACATACTATGGCTAGAGGTTGAAGAAGAGAGGGAGAACAGAACGCACGCACACACAGCACAAGCACCAGCGTTGGCCGGAGCTCTGCAGAGGAAATGGCAAAATTGAACTCGCTCTCTTTATTGAGTTACAGTAGGAAACTATATATACAACTATACCCATCTAATCCTAGTACACAGATATGTCAGGCTGTCATGCTGCTACAATGACTAGATGTGACAGCAGGGCTGACTTTGGCGCCTGCCCCTGCTGTGGCTACAGTGCGGCAGGGGAGCCTTTCGGCGCTTGCCCCTGCAGCGGCTACAGTGCAGCAGCAGGGAGCCTTTCGGCACCTATCCATGCCGCGCGTTCATACTAGGGAGCATCATATTACTTAACAATTTGATGACAACAGATGGGCTGACTTGGGAGCCTTTGGCTACAAGACGGCAGGAGAGCCTTTGCGCCTTTGACCTTTGCCCGCTTGTGTGGCTATTCAGGGGAGCAGGCAGCAGCAGAGGGGAGCCTTTTAACAATTCTTCCCTATTCATCAGGGCTGCAGATTACTAACCCTAAGCTAACCCTAGAACCCCCTTCATACCGATCATCTTCTTCAGCTCTGTGAACCGAACACGGCTGAGCGGCTTGGTGAGGACATTCGCGAGTTGCCGACAAGTTTCGACGAACTCGATGATTAAGTGGAAAAATTCAGACACCGGAGATCTAGTTAGATTAAGTGGAAACCCAAGGCACAGAATCCTGATCTTCTTAATTATGCTTTCTGAATCAGGCTTCATCAGCTGTGCATCCCGTGTCAAAAAAAAAATCAAAACCTTCAGCAAACTTTTCGGTGATTTTTACATATTGTTAGATAATCTGCAAATTGTTTACTCATGCGTGCAGCGCGTGTGCTCAACATCATGGACCTCAACAAGAACTGAGATAAAGCAAGAGCTAGCGTGCTGCACGCTCCATGCTAAATAATTCAAAGGAACGGGAACACTAAGCATCTCGAATCTGGATGGGCTCAATGACAAAAAGAAAGGTTTGGGGGATATGTGCAGTCCATGCAGGTCCCTAATCGAGCACCTTGAGATAGGTTTATTCCTACACGTGTATCACGTTGATAGGTTAAAACCATATATACTTTCACTACTGGAAACTCGAATATTTCTATGGGTGATAAATTTTTCTGTGCGTTTTTTTCGGCACACACAGAAAAATTGTAATTTTTCCGCCGGTTCCAAAATATACCGATAGAAAAATACGAAAACCCACAGGGTAATTATATCATTTTTCTGTGCGTGAGAGTACACACAGAAAAAATGTAATTATTCTGTGAGTATTTTTAAAATGCACGGAAAAACAATGCACACACACACAAAAATTGTAATTTTTCTGTAGGTTTCTATATTACCCACAGATTAAAATTACGTACGCACAGAAAAATAATCCGAAACTTAAATCCCCACAACCCACTGAAGCCTCTTATCCTCTAGTCCGCATTCACCCCCGCAACCCTCCTCCACCCATCCGCCGCCAGCTCTCTTCTCGTCGCCCCAGCTCCGCTGCTTCCCCTCCCGGTGCCCGGACGCAGCCCTCTCGTCGCACATGGCAGACGCTGGCTGGTCGGCCTTCTGGCTGGCCGTCCCTCTCCCAGCGTGGCCTCTCTCTCGTGTGGCCCCTCCCAGGTGTGGCTCTCTGGGCGCCTCCCCCCAGCGCACCGCCCCTCCCGGACACGGCCCTCCTGGGCGCGTCCCTCACGATGCGCCGCCCCTCCGGAGCATAGCCCTCACGGCGTGCGGGCCCTCCCGAGCATGGTGGATCTGGAGCCCCTTCTCAGCCCGACATCTAGATCTGCAGCTCCAAGCGCAACCACATCAGGGCAGTTGCAGCTCCGAGTGTAGCCTCCTTCCAGTGGCCGAGGTGAGCCCTTTGCCAACGACAAGCACCCACAACACAAGCCAGGTATGCAAGTTCCTTCTCTTCCCTTTTGTGCAAATTTGAGAACGAACACTAATTTAAGCTATTTGGTTATGTGTATTCAGAACAGATTTGATCTAATCCCATGTGTATGTTGTAGGATGTGGATTGAATTTGGTTAATATAACTAGTACTGATTTTTTTACCAGAGCAATACATGTTGAAAAATCTGTACTATCATATTTTCAGTATTTGACTAATACATTTTTTTTACCAGAGCACCTGCCTTGATGTTAGTCCTTATTTTTTTGTATGCCATTGTTGATAAAAAAAAACAGACATACCCTGTTATGCTTAAGGAAGATGAAAGTGACATGTAAGATTACTCTGTGCACTTCATTTTTGCTCTTAGTTGATATTCATGCTGTTTTGTCTTCTCTATTTTAAGTACCTACTAGGTGCAATATTAAATTATTTTTGTAGTCAACAATCTATAAGCAACAGATAGAGCACACTATGTGATTGTAGTCAACAAAGATGGTATTGGTGAACCTAGCCAGACATACTAGGCATTCAGGGAATTTGCCAATATGAGATAACCCAAATGATTTAAGTGAATAACTCTATCTTGAGTTGGTAGTTGCTATCAGACACTATCTTGAGTTGGTAGCATATGAACTGCCCACTGGTGTTGCAGCCAGATTACCCCAGGAGTCTTCTGCGGCAGATTACTCCATGTGTCTGATTCTTTTGGGACTTTTAGATGCTCATCAGACTCCATCTTATCTTTCTCACCTCAACTGGATCCTGCTCTAGACTTGGCATTTGGTCTTTCAATTCCATCTCCAGCATTCCAAGCAAAGCCACCCAATCAGTGGAATTGTCCTGCACCTTAGCATGCACTTCCCATGAATTATCTTGATCTACTGGCTTTGCAGCTGCTCCACCTCCACTACTCCAGCCTCCCCAATCAGTGGAATTGTCCAACACCTTAGCATGCACTTCCCATGAATTATCTTGATCTGCTGGCTTTGCAGCAGCTCCAACTCCACTACCCCAGCCTCCCCAGTCACCAGAATCATTCGCAGCACTAGCATTTGTTCCCAACTTGAGTTCATTGTTGTGCCATTTTCCCATGAGCTGCCTTTCTGGATATTTTGCTCTCCAACTTAAGTATTATACAACAACCTCGAATATCTAATTAACCCAATCAAACTACAATAGACACGGATCCTAAACAAGGCAAGATCTACCAATCCCCAGAAGTCCTTGGGTGGGGAATAAATGTCCCTGTGGTGTTGCTGTAGTCAAAACTACTGACTTAACCATTAATATTAAAACATGCTTGGTTGACAAACCTGCACAACTTGATTGAAGGCACATGAGATGCCAATAAGTTCCCTCACTTGCTGAATGCCATATGGAATAGACCTCCATGTGTCAATGAGGTCAAGTACAGGTAAGCAGGCATCAATTGTTTCTAGTCCTTGTTACCAGAATCAGTTGTCTCTTTCCATTGAGCAGTACCTTGTGAGTTCTTAGCAGGCACAGCATTCCAGCCATCCCAAGAATCTGATACACAAGTCATTTCGAACTATGTACGTTATTTCCTCCACCAACACAGGTAAGTTTGTTCTTCATACACAGCCAAACATTAATCACTCATTTGATAAATGAATATATTGAATGATACTTAACTTTGATAAATATGATGGTATACAATTACTTGAGATATTTGACATGCAAGGTAGCTGATGCTAAAGTTACCCTTCTGTGCAGAATCCAGCTTGGACAACCAGCTATTGTTAAAGTTGCAGCCAACTTGATTAGGTTGCTAGCTTATCAGAACAAGGTATGTTCCATAGCATTCCAGCACAGACTGTTAAAACATTCTTTTACTTTCCTCATTGATAAGCACCTGGTGTCGGAATTTGATGTTAAACTCTTGTTGAACTACAAAATGAATGTTTGTTATTAATATCCAGAACATGTTGCAAGCTGGCATGATTGTTGGAGGATGGGATAAGTATGAGGGAGGCCAAATTTTCTCGGTCCCTCTTGGTGGAACGATCTTGAAGCAACCATTTACAATTGGAGGTATAATTTTGCCCATAAAGTTGTATTGTTCCCTTCTTCCAAGTCAGTATTTCAATGCTACTTCCATTATTCTCTTTGTTGTGACATACCTTTTATGCTATGGCTAGTGATCTAGTAATTAAATCACTTACTGTTTGAGTTGTACATGATCTCTAAGTGTTCATACTCTAAATCTTGTTATGAAAAAAACTTGCTTTGCTTGAGAAATATTGTTTCTAACACTTGTTATGTTATCTCTGAATTGCAGGTTCAGGTTCCAGTTACCTTTATGCCCTTCTTGATCATGAATGGAAAGAGGGAATGAGCTAGGAAGAGGCAGAGGTATGTCGCCAAGTTCCTTCTTACTTAGATCCTAGAATTGAGATACTCTCTAGTGTAGTAGTATGACTGAAGGTTATTATAATTGTGTAAAGCGAATAGAGTACAACTAGCCTCAATGTTCCTAATATGTTTCTATTGTTCATATATACAGAAATTTGTGGTGAAGGTAGTTTCCCTTGCTATGGCCCGTGATGGTGCTAGTGGAGGGGTTGTTCGTACAGTTACTGTAAGTTCTCTTTATTTTTGTGCAAATTTTCATGCTCAGTTCCCTCCAGAAACTGAAATGTAGCAATCGCCTGAACTAGTTGGGTGTCATGGATTGTCTTATGTTGGTTTTGGCACTTATATCTAGCATGGACAAATATTCTTACAACATGTAAGATTCCGCTCAGTTGTTATTTATTTGCTTTTGGTCTAGGATCTGAAGGCAGAGAAGCCTGATGAGATGGTTACAAATGGTGTTCTTTCCCTAATGGAACAGTCTCAAAGAAGTTTCCGAATTCTTACAAATTTTTGTGCTTGCAGAACCCCATCATTTGCGGATCAGTTAATAGAAGTTGACAATGGTCTTGGCGTGTAGCACCCGGTTTTAAGAACAAAACCAGATACACACCATATGTGAGCCCAGGAAGTCAAATCTCACATATAGCTACAAATAAGGGTAATATCAAATGAGAATGCTTAAATACATAGCGTATTAGTATAAAAAATATAACATCAGAGTATAGACAGCGTAAAGACAACTTCGATCTTCAGGCGAAGACTCCAAATCCACAGGGACAACTGACTGGTTGATCACAAGCCTAATTCCTCCAAACTCTAACAATCTGGTACCCATCTGGGATTTTTATCCAAATAATTGAAAATAAAGTAAGCGTAAGTACATGTCGTACTCAACAAATATAACATGGGGTTCATGAGGCTCAAAAGGCTGACACTGGTTTAACTGCGATTAGCTTTTAATGAGTCATGATTTTAGCAATTGAGTAGCAACAAGTTCACCTCAAGCCCATAAACACATGATCAGGTAAACATGAATAATGAATAGCATAAACAATTAGCCATTAGTGAGCATCTTCATCATCAGTATCATCTATGTTCATCATCTATTCCGTAAATGTTCCAAGGCCGCTCGTGACCGTGAGCACGGCTGATATACCAGTTTTACACTCTGCAGAGGTTGTACACTTTCACTGTGAGTTGTGATTTACCCTTTCGCCCGAGGTGATCAGCCTCTTGACCCACTACCAAGGAAGGTCGGCAGGGTTCACTATGAAGCCTTTCAAAGGTTCGTCTAACAAGTTAGGGCCATTAGATTCACTCGGCAAACAGATGTAGGAACCCCCCTGTCGAATGGCACAATTCCATCACGGCTATACACATAAGAGTAGAGGCTGTCCTATATCCGATTCGTCAAGCCATTCTTACGCCAATAAAGGTAACCACTAACAAGCTAGAAAAGATCCTCATACTGAGCTAAAACCAGAGCCATATAGCCCTCACAGCTGTACTGTAAGTCCCAGATGATCACTTACAGATAAGTCCTTAGGGAGAGGAATCTAGAGCACCATAAAATAGCCCAATGCTCTAGCCCCTTGTTCCATATTGCTAAAAAGCATCTTTTAGTGTTTATTGCATATACCATTAGTCAAGTTACAAGATCATGGTTGTAGTTGAGCACTAGCATAGCTATCCAATGCAATAACCCATAGGAATCAAGACACAAGGTACAAAGTACTAGGAAATCCTTAGTGGTAGTCAAGGTAGACACATGCAGTATGAATTAAATGATTAAAGGTGTATAGGACAACAAGGAAGATCCTATGCTATACTTGCCTTAAACACCGATCCTTCGGTAAGCTTTAATCTTCAATGTTCTTCTTCTTTTTCTTCTTGATCACCACGTATATCTCACCGACTGGACGAAATCATAAAGCACCACACAAGCATCCATACAATCATACATGAAGCAAACAATAGATCTATATTAGAACAGTACATCAAACATAAAATCAAGATGAAAAGTTTGTACAACGAATCTACGTCTCACTACGAACACACAGACGCGAAAAACACGCTAATCGGAGCTACAATTGAAAAGATACAACTACCGAAAGATTTACTGTATACGCGGAAAAGAAAACTATAGGATTCATTTATTTAACTATATAAAGTCTTATATAAATTGGATTAAATCAAATTTAGATTTAAATTATAAAACTAAAGTAAAACAAATCACATTTTATTTACAAAACCCAGTTGCATAATTGTTATTTAAGATATGATCTAAACCATGAAATTCCAGAAATAGTGGCATGGTAACCACTGTTATTAACGCGTAGTTCTCGTTGCAACGCAACTTGAATGGGTCAAAACGGATCTAAAACGCAAAAGATATGAAATAAATAAGATTTCCTTTATTAAAATAATAGATTAAATCTAATCACGAATTTTAAAAGTTGAAAACACATCTGACATTAGTATGAACATGTAGGTTATGAAATTACGAACCAGCACAAGTTGAACGGATCAAATCGGAGTTAGAACGAAGAAACGGTGGGGATCCATAATTGATTGTAAGTGGTGTATTTCTATAGTATTGTTGGATTTGTTTTTCTATAAGAAAACGGCCATAAAACATATACGTGATGTCATCAAGCTAATTGGAACAGCTAACTAGAGCAGGGCACGGAGCACGCACGGTGCACGGCATCAAGAGCTTAACCAAAAAGGATATACATGCTTACATGGGGAACCTTCGCTTCCGGATAGAAGATTACGTTGCTAAGCTTACATACTCGTCAACCTTGGCGCTTGCTAGCTTGCATTATTGAGCTTACATTATGGCGCTTGCTAGCTTGCATTATTGACATGCATGCACGGTGCTATTTGCTTGAACGTTTGCATATGTTGCAGTAGGAAGTCAAGGGACGGAACGCAAAGCAAAGCAGGTTTGCATGGCAGGGAAGCAGTAGGTCGGCTGCAGCCATGGCCGGCTGTTTCTGCCATAGTGCATGGATGGATTGCTCGTGTGTGTATATAGAAGTAGGAAAATTTTTCCATATATATATATATATATATATATATATATATATATATATATATATATATATATATATATATATATATATATATATATATATATATATATATATGCATGCATGGCGCTTGAGTTGGGAGCATGCAGAGCAACGGGATAAGCAGCAGCGTATGGATGGATGAACAGCTTGTTTGGTACAGATCGACACTCGATCGAGCAAGACAAGATGAAACTTGTGGCGCTGATTCTGGCTTTCTTGGGACGGTGGATGTACGCCGGCAGATTTTTTTGCCAGGGGAGCTCGGCAAAAACAGGGAACGGGGAGCTGGAGGCGCACCCATAAATATGTAGAGAAAAAGGAAGCTAAGCGATGATGTTACAGGGCACGAGATACATATAGATGCGATCCAAAAACGGAACACCTGAAGGATAGGGAAGGCGGTAATATTCTCACCTCGAGTGATGGATGAACGCCGAGTGATGGTGGTGCGGCGGCTTGCACGGGGTTGCAGAAGCCTCTTGCCGGTTTCACGGAGGCGACGAGGCATGGAACTATGAAGGCAAAGAGCAATTCCGTAGATCTGTTCACCATCAGTCCATCAGCCAGCGAAGAACAGCATGCTGACGTGATTGATTTGGACAAGATGATGGTGCTTCACGTATAAGGATTCCTCCGCCCTCCTGGCCATGGATCGGTAGCTGGTGTCCCCTCCTGTGCACCTGCTTGCGGAAGCAGCTGCTAGAATCTCGACGGCAGACAAGGAAGACATCACGGCGGCAGGCAGGACGACAAGTGATGAAGAACTCGGCGGCGTAGGAGGAGCAAGACGGCAACGGCAACGGCAACGGCGAAGACGACGGCGAGAGAAAGAGGAGAAAAATATAATTTACTACATGAGGGATTTCCCAAACTAGAGGCTCCCTATATGGTAGTTTTGGTCTGCTTTGCCCAAGGGATCGGTTGATATATATAAGAACAAAAACTCCCCACATCAATGTCAACCAGCGATATGGTACTAATTTACGTTGCACCATCCACCTGCACTAATGGGCCTAAATAATCATTAAAGCCCATTAGTAAATAAATGCATGTGCCTTTGAGATTTATTAGGATTATTGCACATGGGCTTTGAGCGTTGGAAAAAAAATGAGAGATTTATTATTTTCGGAATTAATTAATTTCACGAATAAAATAATTCTAGAAAGGTCTAGAATTGATATTTAAACCATAAAAATAATCCAAGACCTCCGAAAATTTGGGAAAAATTCCCAAAGACATTATGGAACATGAGGAACCCAAATATAGTATTTGAAGCTCATAAAAATATTGTTGGAAACTTGGAACATAAAGATTAAGGTGAAGGAGGTAGGAATTAAATTCCAGAAAGAAGCTGGAAAATTCCTAGAGATAGATATCCGTCACCTAAACATATAAAAAAACACACATTTTGCACATAGAAACACGAGGTGCGACCGGCATGAATGCAACAAACACGTTTCTATCTTATGATAAATTTTAAATTAATAAAAAAATTTATTTTCCTATATTTTCATGTGCATAAAAATTCACAAATAAATCATTTTAACTCTATTTTTAAAAGTGGCAAATTTTGGGGTGTTACATGGCGAAGTAATGAAACCACCTGAGAAATCTTTCTGGGCTAAATATGTGAGTAACTGCACTAAATATCTTCTGTACTTTGTTCAATATCTTCGTGCTTGTGTGTGTATGCATGTTCCTTCGGTCTGACTTGTTTGTTTTGTAGTGGATGTACATCATTCCGCTTGGTCTTATTGTCATGAATGCTGTTACGGCAGCGGCCAACATACCAGAGGAAGCTGCAGGGCAGGGCCAACCTGGAGCAGAACGGGCACCTGCTGCTGCTGCTGGGAGGAGAAGATGATGGCTGCCTCTATGTTTTCCCATACCGTAGGTATTATCATCCGT